CTTATATTCTCCAAATTGTTGGCATACAATCAAAGCTCTGGCAACTCAGAGAGAAACTAGAAAATTCTCCTGGGTGGGACCCCTGATGCCAGATAACACCAATGTTGCTCTGTTTGCCGAGTAGAGGGAGGTGAGCCCGGTCTGATAGTGGGGAGAGAGGATTTCGCTGTTTTTGGACAAGATGCATTAACTCTTCCCAGGAAGCAGGCTTCCCAGGACTCCATTACTTCCCACTGTAGTTAAATGGACACTTATGGCCTAAAAACATCTATCCACCTTCTCGTGGTATGAAACGAGTTCCCCGAAGGGAAAGTCCAGAACAGAAGATATATTCATCTCAACTGGAGCTCTTGTTCTGAACTGACTTTTCATTACCATTGATGTAAGTCTAGCCGGAATCAGGGTCAGAGCTCCTTCCTCTTCCTGTTTCTGCTTCTCAGAAAAAGGGGCTGCCTTTTCCGACACTGGACATGTAGCCTCAGGACCACATTCTAACACCTACTCTGTGGCCTGCCATCCAAGCATACATGATACACCATCTTCCAGCACAACAAAAGGACATAGACAGGCATGTAGATTTTGTTTTTGTGTTTTTTTAGTGGCTGTTCTGGGTCTTCGTTGCTCAAGAGCCTTTGGCGGTCACAGCGAGTGGAGGCTACTCTCCAGTTGCAGTGTGGGGGCTTTTCACTGCAGTGGTTTCCCCTCTTTCGGAGCACTGGCTTAGGTGCACAGGCTTCAGTAGTTGCGGCTCACGGGCATGGTGTCTTGCGGCATATGGGATCTTCCTGGATCTGGACACAGGGATAGAACCTGTGTCCCCTGCAATTGGAAGGTGGATTCTTTACCACTGAGCCACCACCAGGGAAGCTCAATTTTGTTCTTTTAAACATATCCAGAAAAAAGCACTCAGAGGTCAGACTTTTTTATATTGTGTTACTGATGAAACATGCATAATATAAATCTTTAACTGTTTTTTAGTGTGTGGTTCAGTGATAATAAGGTATATTCACATTGTTGTGAACTGTCACCACCATCCATCTCTTGAACTTTTCCATCTTCCCAAACTGGAACTCTGTCCCCACTAAGGAATAACCACCCCCCGCCCACCCCGCCAGTCCCTGGAAACCACCATCCTACTTTGTGTCTCTAAGAATTTGACTATTTTAGTCTCCCACATGAGTGAAATCATTCAGTGTTTGTCATTTTGGTGACTCGCTTATTTCACTTAGCAAAATATCCTCAAAATTCATGCATGTTACACCATACCTGCCTCCTGGGAAAGCTGTATGCAGGTCAAGAAGCAACAGTTAGAACCAGACATGGAAGAACAGACTAGTTCTAAATTGAGAAAGGAGTGTGTCAAGGCTGTATATTGTCACCCTGCTTATTTAACTTATATGAAGAGTACATCATGAGAAATGCTGGGCTGGATGAAGCACAAGCTGGAATCAAGATTGCCAGACCTCAGACATACAGATTACACCATGCTTATGTCAGAAAGCATATGGCAGAAAGCAAAGAGGAACTGAAGAGCCTCTTGATGAAAGTGAAAGAGGAGAGTGAAAAAGCTGGCTTAAAACTTTCACTAATCAAAAAACAAAAATCATGGCATCACCTCATGGCAAATAGAATGGAAACAATGGAGACAGTGACAGACTTTATTTTCTTGGGCTCCAAAATCACTGCAGATTGTGACTACAGCCATGAAATTAAAAGACGCTTGCTCCTTAGAAGAAAAGCTATGACCAACCTAGACAGCACATTAAATAGCAGAGATATTACTTTGCCCAAAAAGGGCCGTCTAGTCAAAGCTATGGTTTTTCCAGTAATCTTGTATGGATGTGAGAGTTGGACCATAAAGAAAGATGAGTACTGAAGAATTGATGCTTTTGAACTGTGGTGTTGAAGACTGTTGAGAGTTCCTTGGATTGTAAGGAGATCCAACCAGTCCATCCTAAATGAAATCAGTCTGAATAGTCATTAGAAGGACTGATGCTGAAGCTGAAGCTCCAATACTTTGGCCACCTGATACAAATAACTGACTCCTTGGAAAAGACCCTGATGCTGGGAAATATTGAAGGCAGGAGGAGAAGGAGATGACAGAGGATGAGATGATTGGATGGCATACCAACTCGATGGACATGACTTTGAGCAAGCTCTGGGAGTTGGTGATGGACAGGGAAGCCTGGTGTGCTGCAGTCCATGGGATCGCAAACAGTCGGACACGACTGAGTGAACTGAACTGAAATGAATGACATGTCAGAATTCCCTTCCTCTTTAAGGATGAATAATGGTCCTTTGTATGTACAGACCAATTCTGCTTATTTGTTCATCCATCAGTGTACATGTGGATAGCATCTACCTTCTGCTTAATGTGAATCATGCTGCTACAGGTGCATCAATACTTCTTTGAAACTCAGCTTTCAATTCTTTGGGGTTTCAAAGAATACTCTGGCATCTGTACCCAGAAGTGGAACTGTTGGATCATATGGGTTTTTTGAGTAATCTCTGTACCATTTTCCATAGCAGTTAAGATTTTAAAGAATTCCATCATGGGGGTATTTAAAGAGATATAAAAGTGCAATTTTCATGTTCTTAGATGATTAAAACAGTCTTTCTCCTAATCGTGATAGAAGCCACAACCACTAACACTGAGCCCTGGGTAGGTGTGGAGGTCCATGCTCTCATACATTTTCTCACCTAACCCTTTCGAGACTGTATGAAGCAGGTACTATTGTTAGGTCATCTTATCTGTGCAGAAACTGAAGGTTCAAGGGTTTAACTACTCACCCAAGGCCAGCGGCATCAGGACCTAGAACCTACACAATCTGACTCCACAACCCACTTTCTTAACCACTGTCACATCTGTGCCCCTTCTTTCTCTCTCTCCTTCTGTCTAAAAAAGTTTATCTTGTATTACAGTCATCTGTCTTCCATTTCAATTCCTTTTTCGTCTGTTTTGAGGGCTTCACATGTGGTACTAGTAATAGAGAACCTGCCTGCCAAATCAGGAGATGTAAGAGATGCGGGTTTGATCCTTGGGTCAGGAAGATCCCCAAGAGTAAGGAATGGCAACCAACTCCAGTATTCTTGCCTGGAGAATCCCATGGACAGAGGAGCCTGGCAGGCTATGGTTCATAAGGTCACAAAGAGTCAGACAAGACTGAAACAATTTAGTCTGTTCTGTGTCTGTAAAGTGAACAAGATACTGGAAGAGAGCAACAATGGGCCAGTAGCAGCCAACACTCACCCCACTGGGTTTTGGCTGCCCTGCTGGTTAACAGAGACCTGGGTGAGGTACCAGCAGCGTCCACCACGGTGACCGTGACCGCCAGCCTCCCTGCTCTCACCGCCTCTGACTCTAACGCAGTGCTAAAGATTCTGATGCTCTTTCTCAAATTGATCTGATAGGGAAACACCCAGCACAGGCTCTGGCACACAGTGGAGGTTCAACCAAGTTCTGCAGGAACAAAAAAAGAAAGAAGGGCCCTTCACGCACAAACACAGGAAAGTGTGATCCTGCCAGGCACCTGGCTCTCCACAAGGTCCATGTGCCCTCGCCCCCTGGCAGGTTTGACCATCTGGTGGCATTCGAGCACGCGGAAAGGGCTGCCACTACTACAATGCGAGGAAGAGGAACGTTGAACACTTGGGGGACCCTATTGATGACCTTTTCCTTAGTGCACACAAGATTCCTGGAATCTCCGCAACTGGTAAGCAAGGAGCACTGAGAATTTGACGAGAAAATGTCAACACGAAATCCCTTTTTTACTGACTTGAACAAATGACAGGAAGGAGTTATATGGGACCATTGTTTTCCACTTCAGAAAGGGTCTTTGTTTATTCTGGTCGGTATAGGCAATAATGACTCTGAAATCCAGTGTTTATAAGAGCAGGAAAGGGAAATGACGTTTAACCGAGCATATTCTATTTGTCCAACTCTAAAGCATCAAAACTAATAATAATGACTACTAAAATCAAGGCCTGGCATATTATTTCAGTCATACAAGATAAATGCACCATATATGTTCTATGTCATCTTGTGAAGTATATTAATTTTAAGTATATTTTAAATTCATGATCAGTGTAATAGTTTGATAGCTAATAATGTAATAATGTGATCATTTGTGTTTGTACAGAACTTTATAGTATTCAAAGAGGTTTCATAAAAAATTGTATTGATTAAGCCACTTTTAAAACCTGTATGGAACTTCCCTCGTGGTCCAGTGGTTATGACTTTGCCTTTCAATGCAGGGGGTGTGAGTTTGATCCCTGGTTGGGGAGCTAAGACCCCACATGCCTCATGACCAGAAAAGAGAAAGAAAAGAGAAACAATATTGTAACAAATTCAATAAGAATTTTAAAAATGGTCCACATTAAAAAAATCTTCAAATACTTATTTAACAAAATAAATAAATACATAAATCTGTAGGTAAGGAAGTTTCCGAAAGTGAGGCCTAGGGTGGTGTCTCACAGTTCCCTAGTTAATTAGGATAGGGGTCAGACTCCCGAGGTCTAACCTGACATACTTCATGGGATCAGGTTACCTTTATGAATTTCTGAAAGGCTTGATGTAACTGGAACACCAGCGTGCCTCCCCTGGGGTGGAAATCAGCCTGTGGGGGCAATTAAGGCGTGTTTGTCGTTCCATATTTACTTGTTCTCTGCATTCAAACAGTTCTGAGTGTTTCCCAGACTCATTAGTTGCCTTTGGCTTTTTGAGGTTTTGATGAGACAGTGAAAGCCTTCCTGGCTGGGTAGAAAATTTCTGCCAGTCTCCCAGGTCTTTCCCAGAAGAGGCCTTGGGTGTGGTGCCCACAGCGAAACTGGCTTCCTCCTTTCCTGCCTCTTAGGGCCGGGTGGGCGAGGACCTGAGGCCTGGGGGGAAGCTTCCCAGGGTAGGATGAGGGGAAGGAGATTCTGCATTGGAAGGGACCCAGAGGGCCCAAAGGAGCCCTCACTTAATGGCCCCCTGGATCTGTGCGATTCCCCCTAATAAGGCCCCCAAGATCCAGGAGGAAGCAGGTGAAGCCGGATGTTGGCGCTCCGAAGCTACCGACTTCGTGGACCCTTCTCTTGGCCTCAGGATCCCCGGCCCCTCCTGTGGCTGCCCAGCCCCCTGCTCGGCCCACTACCCCTCCCCGGGGTGCTCCTTTCTTTCCTCCATTCCATCCACACCCCGATTCCTCAGCTCCACAGGCAGTTGTCTTGTCGTGGAATCGCACTCATCTGAGAATGAGGACACCCACCTCCCACTCACTACCTGGGCCCTGTCCTTCTCAGAGACCCCCTGGAGTGAGGAGAGCAAGGGCACAGACGGGACAGACCTCAGGAGCGAACAAGATGAATTTAAGATGCTGAAGGGCAGAGACAGGAACAGACAAGATACCAATGCTGTGTTGTTACTTTCTTTCGTTCAGTGGGCTGTTGTGAATCTAGAAAACTGTTCTGAGAAAATTCCTCAGGGTGTTGACCTGAGGCGCCTGGTCATTCACAATGACCACAAGGTACCAGGTCTCTGAAGCCCCCAGCGAGCTGGCTCCAGACCTCTCTCCACCATCACAGCGAATTCTCACCTCTGGTGGTTCTTCCACATAGTTGTAGAAACAGACACAAAGACCATCCTACAACAGAATGGGGGTGGTGGTGGGAGGGGGTGTGTGGGGCGGACCATCTGTCCTTGAGGCACTGGTGTAACCAGGAGGGGTTAATTTTGAATTTACGCTGGATCTGTGTGTTTAGCTGTGTCTGACTCTTTATGAGCCCATCTACTGTAGCTCGCCAGGCTCCTTCATCCATGGAATTTTCCAGGCTAGAATACTGGAGTGGGTTGCCATTCCCTTCTCCAGGGGATCTTCTCGACCCAGGAATAGAACCCAGGTCTCCTCCATTGCGGGGAGATTCCTTACCGTCTGAGCCATAAGAACCTTGTTGAACAGTTATCTAGAGGCAGCTGCAACCACCTTCTGGAGGCAGGATCAGCTGACCTCTAGTCTACAGAATCCTCCAGAAATACCTGGACGCAGGACCAGATGGTGTTCCTAGGGAGCCACCTGAAAGGATACAGGCTACAGGGCTTGTTATTAATAGATTTTTTCATTTTCTGGCAAAAGTGGCATTGCCTGGTAATTATTTTTAGCCAATTATTATTAGGCAATTATTTTTAGCCAATTCACCTATCTTAAACACCATTTATTTCACCAATGAATTAAATAATTTCCAGCACTTACTTATTCTGACATATTTATTCTAGCATTATTATGCTAATTAACAAACCTTCTGGTGCCTATCAGATGGGTCTTTCAATTGTGGTCTCTTTCAAATGCTAACCGGCCACCCGTGGGGTGTGAATTTCTGATCAGGCTACTTTACATATTAACCAGGCGCGCATCTGGTGTAAATTAAAATTAACTGACACACATACATTTCACATACTTGAGACAGAAGCCTTTTAATTACAGAATTGACTTAACAACCTATGCCAGTTCCCGTCTGCAAAAGGAATGCTGTCTGGTCAAACTAATGGGACTCAGGGTCTTGTGGCCCCACCTTGTACAGGAGCCACTAGAGAGGAGACCAAGTCCTGGGTGTCACCATCTCCCATGGACCTGGCTCCTTCAGCATAGGGGGCACTCCATCTGCGACCGGAGAATGTGATCTAAAAGGGGATACAGCCACACTGTTGAGTTCCAAACCTCTACTCATTTTTTATTAATTAATTAGTTTTTGGCTGCACTTGGGTCTTCATTGCTGTGCATGGGCTTTATCTAGTTGCCGTGAGCAGGGGCTACTCTCGAGCTAACGGTGCGTGGGTTTTTCGTTTCAGTGGCTTCTCGTTACTGAGCACGGGCTCCAGTGGTGCAGGCTTCAGTAGTTGGTGCTCAGGCTTAGAAACTGTAGCCCCGAGGCATGTGGAATCTTCCCAGACCAGGGATCGAACCCATGTTGCCTGCATTCGGGTGGATTCTTAACCACTGGACCACCAGGGTAGTCCATCAACTTGTCTTTGTTTAATTTTTCTTTTTAATTTTTAATTTTTTTTCCCATTTTTTATTAGTTGGAGGCTAATTACTTTACAATATTGTAGTGGTTTTTGCCATACATTGACACGAATCAGCCATGGATTTACAAGTATTCCCCATCCCGATCCCCCCTCCCACCTCCCTTAATTTTTAATTGAAGGATAATTGCTTCACATTGTGTTGGTTTCTGCCGTACGTCACCATGAATCAGCCATAGGTGTGTGTATATGTCCCCTCCCTCTTGAACCTCCCTCCCACCTCCTACCCCATCCTGTTACTGGCCCAAATCTTGGCTTTCTCTGCCCACCGAAGCCAAGTAAAAATTACAGAGACAGAGTCTGGAGGAAATAGAAAAGTGGCTTTAATTCTCAACTGGTGGAGAGGGTAACCGAGTAGGCTCATACTCCCAGAACTGTCGCCTCCAACCCCCACGAGGAGTCTAGGGGCTGATTTAAGATGAGGGCTCGCAGCCAGGAGTCAGTGATGAGCAACAACGGTGTTAGGATCTTGGTTTCTTCCTCTTGTATTGTTTCAAAGACAGGCTGGAGTCAGTAACCCAGTAATTGAGTCTGGCAGTCTGGTGGCTCTGTGGCCTCCTTTCTGATATTTAACTACAAGGGGAAGGGTGTTGTAAGGGTAAACGTCAGATGCAAGATGTCTCTAGCATAGAGTCAAAGGAAAAATAGGTGCAACATGTCGCTCCTACAGAGTTAGGGGGCAGAAAAGCAAACTTAGTTACAGACATGCAGAGTTAACAGCAGGACTGTTCAGTCCTGCTCACTCACTGTTCTTTTTATCCTCTTTGTTTTCAGGAAAGGGAAAGAGAAGACTCATTCCTCTTTTTTCTTTTCCACTGCAACAATTCCACCCCTCTAGGTTGTCACTGAGCCTTCAACTTGTGTTTAACTAGAGAAGGTTCTAGAATTATGGAAGAAGTACAGCATCTCCTGGTTGTCTGAAATATATCCAGGCCAACCCCTCTCCCCACCCTGAGGCACACGGGAAGGAGCTGCCCTGCCCCACAACCGCCCATCATTTTACCTAATCCTGTTCCCTGACTCGGTTCCCTTCCCTCCAGGAGTCGGTGACAAAGGCAACAAGCTTGGGATGGACAAAGTCAAGGAGGCCATGAAGAGGCACATACGAAAGGGGACATCCTCACCTGTGACACGGAGGCTGACTTTGCAGTCATCGCGGCTAAGTGCTCCTATGGTCAGCCAGTCAGGCAAGGCTGCCCAGGGGGAGGGACCTGGCTTGCAGCCTGTCTAGCCAGAAACTCATCTCGCCCATGAGTGGAGTCTTGAGGCACCAGGGGAGAAGGGAACCTGGTTCTTAGCCTCTGGCCTCTCATTCAGGCGTGCAACAAACATTTACTGTGTGCTAGGCGTTGCTCTGTGTGCTGAGGTAGGAGCAGCTCCCTGTTCTGCAGAGTGCCTGCTCTAGTGTTGGGAGATGGACAATGAACCCTAACAAACAAGCACACCAGAGTGTGCTGAGCAGGCTTCCCTGGTGGCTCAGATGGTAAAGAATCTGCCCGCAATGCGGGAGACCCAGGTTCTATCCCTGGGTGGGGAAGATCCAGAGGAACCTGGTGGGCTACAGTCCATAGGGTCACAAAGAGTCAGGCATGACTGAGCAACTAACACACACACATACACATTGTGCTAAACAGTGATGAGAGGTACAGGTAGAAGAGAGACAGGCCACTTTAGATCAGCGGTCAGGAAAGCCTCTCTGGGGAGGGATCATCTCTGTTTTCATTTGTGCTTCCTGTGTGATGGAAAGGAAGAGAACAATCCAGCAAATGTTTGGCGGATGCAAGAGGCTCCAGTTCTCCTTTGCCCCTCCCTTCCCAGCAGCTGTCCTTCCCATCAGGACCAACCTTTCCTGTGTCCGGGTCCTTCCAGGCCCCACCCTTCCTCTTTGATGGCTTCACAAGTTTCAGGAATTTTGACTGATACCTGAGACCAGCCCTCTCCCTTTTCATCATCAAAAACAACCCCAGAGAGAAGCAGAAACCTCGAGGGGACCAGTGCCTGGGTAAGAACAGATCAACAAATTGCTGGAAGCTTTGTGTGGGCAAGTCTGAGAGTTAGAAGATCCAGGGGGACCTCGTCATGGGGGCTCCCACACTTCCGTGAGTGTTACCTCTAGGGATTCTACCAGGTCCATGCTGAACACTAAAGAAAAGTCCCCTCATGCTTTAGGTAGAGGAAGGGGAAAGGGGCCACTTGAAATACACCAGAGCACTCTTTTTTTGAACAAGGCCTGCCCTCAGAAGAAACTATTTTACCAGCACCTAGCCTGCTGGGGGGCTTCCCAGGTAGCACTAGTGGTAAAGAAACTGCCTACCAGTGCAGGAGATGTAAGTAAGAGACGCGGGTTCAATCCCTGGGTCAGGAAATTCCCTGGAGGAGGGCATGGCAACCCCCCTCCAGCGTTCATGCCTGGAGAATTCCATGGATAGAGAGGCCCGGCGGGCTGTGGTCCATAGGGTTACAAAGAGTCGGACACAAGTGAGCAACTAAACAACAACAATGTCAACTCCATGTCAATAAAACTGAAGGGAAAAAATTTAAAACTTCTGCTCTGCAAAGGACCATGTCAAGAGGACGAGAAGACAAGAAAACACAAAAGATGTTTTCAATGAAAGACTGTAACCCAAACTATTCAAAGAACTCTTAGAGCTCACCAGTAATAAAATAAATGGCCCAATTTAAAAAAGGACAAAAGACCTAAACAGACACCTCACCAAAGAATATGTACAGATGGCAAGATATGACGATATGTTCAACATCCTTTGTTTCTGGTCTCCACCTTGGCTTAGTTCTTTGGTTGGGTCACCCAGACAATCCCCACCCTCAGGCCCCTCGAGCTTGTCTTCTTATTACAAACACCTAGAATCTTCTGAAGATGCTTGGGTCTACTGGAAACATGGCTTATATCACATTAAGAAAAAGAGAAATTATGCTATGAGGAAATGTATGTTTCTAGAAACAAATTATTTCTAATAAAACATGTAAAAATACATTATACATTATGAAATGTATTTGAAATTGCTGGTGTAACAAACAGTTTACAATTGCTTACTTCTTTGTTTTCACTAGAAATTAAGGTTTCTAAGGCTTCCCTGGTGGCTCAGATGGTCAAAGAATCTGCCTGCAATGTAGGAGCCCCGGGTTCAATCCATCCCTGACTCAAGGAGGGAACTTGAGTCTCCTCCATTGCAGGCAGATTCTTTCTTGTCTGAGCCACCAAGGAAGCCCCATATGTACCATAAAACTACTAAAATAAGGAAAACATCTTCATATGTAAGGAAAAAATTTTTTAAAGTATAAGGAGTGGGAATGCATTTTGTTAAGGGAAAATAAAGTAAAAAGGTTAAAAAAAGAAGGAAAGCATAGGACAAAGTCTGAATATCGGAGGAGGGGGAGGGAGTTATAGAAAGTTTATGGGAAAGGAACCCTGAGAAAAGAGTTCTCTGT